GTCTTCTGGATGACGTGGCACGATTTGATTGGCTCTCTTAAGATGGATAATTATCTCTTATAACTTGGAAGAGAAGAAATTATCCTATTGGCCAATAATTAATTGATAATTATCTCCATAACTTATTTTGCAAGATAAATTATAATTTAATTTAGACACAATTTAATTAGCTAATTTAATTAACCAATTAATTAATTTTATGCGTCTACAACAACATAATGAGAATTTTGGGTTTTGTGTTTTACTGCTGTGCTTATGTAGTCTTTCATCGTACCACATCATTGCACCACGATAAATGCATTCCCAAGTTGGATCACCAATGTCCAAATATTCTGCTGTTCTAATAACATATATTATTAACAAATATAACAATTAATGATAGACGATGTAATACAGACATTTTTATATCATACCGTCATTTGAAAGTGGCATGAGTTCATCAAAATCCTGATCTTCAGCTTCTTGGTCGACATCAACTGCGTCTTTTTAATAAAACAGATGTATTAATACTGAATTTAAGTCTGTTAAACAATTGAATGCAGAAAAATGATTCTACTAAATATAAGAAACAATTTACCTGGTATATTGTTTTGTGAAGTCTCATTATTTGTAGTTGGTGTAATCATATTTTCACCATCCCATCAACTTCAAAATCTTGAAATACAAACATATAAATTTAGAAAATAATTTTGTAATTAAAAAAATAAATATTGTATTGTATTAACAAAAGAAAAATAATTAAAAATAGTGAAACTCTGTAAGTAATTTTACCTAAAATATCATATTGGCGATTAGTTGTGCATTCATCAATATCGTCTATATTGCATATAGATTGATACAATCTTTTTTTGCCCTTTCCGATTGAACATGACGCTTGATCCATTATCTGACAAATAAAAAGCCTGCTCAAAAAAGGAAAAAAAAAAAAAAAAAACAAACAAAGCCTGCTCAAAAAAGAAAGAAAAAACCTGTTCAACGCGTTAGGAGCTGTTAATCACAATATCCCCTAATTTGTAAAGAACTCGATGGTGGAGAAGTTTTTTTTTTCAATCTGAGAATTTTTTTGTTTCCTGACAACCGAATTCTGATGTGAATCAATTAATAACGTGACTTTTATAGAGGAGATTGATATTAAAAAGGATTCTATAATTTTGATTACCATTTAAGTTTTTAACTCAAGTAACTCAAGAGTCTTAGACTTTTCGTCTACTTATGTTATCTATCCCGTAAAGTTTTTACGTTTCTTCCTTAATATTTTATATATATATCCCCCATCTTTCTCTCGCTTAGCAGAAAACTCTCAAAACGGGGTCAATTTGTAATTATTGAAAAAACTCCCACCTGATTGAGAAACTTCCGGAAATTGCATCATAGCCACAACGGGGTCAAACTGTAATTATTGAAGAAACTCCTGCCAGTTTACGAAACTTCCGGAAATTGCATCATAGCCATAACGGGGATCACACTGTAGTTATTGAAAAAAATCTTCCCTGCTAAAGTTCTAATATGAAAATATCTAAATAGTCTATGGGTTTCAACCCCCATCTTTCTCTCACTTAGCAGAAAAACACTCTAAACGGGGGTCAATCTATAATTTTTGAAAAAACTCCCCTGACTGAGAAACTTCCGGAAATTGCATCATAGCTAGGGATGGCAGCGGAGCGGGTACCCTCGAAAAAGTGCAATACCAGAACCATTACCATTTAATATAGCTCAAACCATGACCATACCAAACCCTTTTAAAAATTTAATGGAAATACCATAACCATTACCACGAATATCCGGGTATCCACGGATACCCATTTACCATTGAAATTATGTTAATAAAAAATAACTTTGGGTCCGATAACGTTTGAGTAACCCTTAGAAAAGAGGAAGGGAAAAAAAAAGTAAAATTATACAAAGATATCCTCCCTAAATTATTTAATACTTTATTTAAAATTTTGCGAAATTATTTATTTTATTCATATTGTCGAATTAATATATATATATATATATATATATATATATATATATATATATATATTAAATGGTCGGGTACCCATGACCGTAAAGGTAAAACCAGAACCATACCAAAACCATGACGGTTTTCTTTTCTTTTACCAAAACCATTACCAAACCCTAATGGTTTCGGTAACGGGTTTTAAACGGAGCGGATACCCGCGGATAGCTAGTGGTTCGGGTTTTTTTGCCATCCCTAATCATAGCCACAACGGGGTCAATCTGTAATTATTGAAAAAACTCATACCGACTGAGAAACTTCCGGAAATTGCATTATAGCCACAACGGGGTCAAACTGTAATTATTGAAAAAACTCTTCCCTGCTGTTAGAACTTTCGTAAATTGCAGAAACACCCACAATTTTTTATCTATCATCACATCCGACCGCATGCATCTTAAAATTATTAATTTTACGAAACTTCTTACCCTGCTTCATTTATTATTTGTGAATCCACCAATTGAAGCATTAAGCAAATTATTTTCATTTTTTCCTTTTCATCTTGGGTGCTTCTCATGTTGTTCTGGGAAGCTTTATTATTGGAATCTCATCTTAAATGAAGATGTATATAGAGAACTTAAATTATTGACACCTTGGTGCTTGACATTTGTGTTGCTCCATCATCTGACATCTCAAACGTATCAACACCATCTTCAATTGTTTTCTTCTTCTTCAACGACTTACTTGAAGGAGTTGCACCATTACAGTATTTAAGTTTTATAAATATTTATGAAGTCACCGGAGGAAGTGAACCAGCAAATCATTCTGTTAATTTTGATTATTTTTTTTTCATATTTTAAGTTATTTTATATTCATACATTTCAAAAAATAGCAAATCATTCTGTTAATTTTGATTATTTTTTTTTCATATTTTAATTTATTTTATATTCATACATTTCAAAAAATATTTCGGGGGCACTGCCCCTGAACCCCCTAATCTTTTATTCCATCGTTTTTTGAGATTTGTCAAATAAGGCCCCCGTTTTAAGTTGTTCTTTAAGTCTCGCCTAGGGCCCCCGAATTCTCAGGAACGGCCCTGCGTGTAGGGGTTCTTTTGTACAAAAAAACTTTAAAGTCTCCAATCCAAAATTCAACTTATAAGGAGCACTTACTACAGTTAAACATTTATTAATTAATACAGTCGATAATAACAAAATTCAAAATTATTCTCAACCTACACTACTTTACTTGCAATTGTAGGACACGTGATCATTTGCGTAGCAAAATCCCAGTCAAAGGCCAAATCCTAATTTTCCTTCTCTACATTTGCTTAGAAAAATCAAACCAATCTTTTTTCTTTTCTTAATTTTTCTATTGTTTTTTTTCAACCAATGAGAGACAGAGTTTCAACCATGAACATTTCTATATATTAACTAACAAATAACAACCAAAGAGAGCTAAAATCAGAAAGAGAGCCGAAAAAAAAAACAGGAAAAATCATGAATCCTCCAACACAAAACGACGACGGCCAATCCTCGTACGCAATCCACCTCGTGAACGCCTCGGTACTACCGATGGCCCTCAAAGCCTGCATAGAGCTCGACGTACTCGAAATCATCCACCGAGCCGGGCCCCACGGCCCGCTCTCCTCTTTCCAAATAGCATCTCAAATTCCCAACTGCCACAACCCCCACGCCGCTTCAAACCTACTGGACCGAATGCTCGCCCTTCTCGCCAGCTACTCCATTCTAACATGCTCCGTCTCAAACGGCCCCCAAAAACTCTACTCGTTAGGGCCCGTCTCGAAATACTTCGTAGCCAACGCAAACGGAGTTTCCTTAGCCCCACTTTTTCTACTCAACCAGGACAAGGTCATGATGGACACGTGGCACCACATGAAGGATGCCGTTATAGAGGGGGGGTTGGCCCCCTTCAACAGGGCTTACGGAATGGATGCTAGCGAGTACGTAGTGAAGAAGAATCCGAGTTATTTCCAGCTTTTCAAGAATTCGATGAGTAACTACAACTCTATGTTTATGGAGAAATTAGTGGATACTTACCGAGGATTTGAAGGGCTCGAGTCTATTGTCGATGTCGGTGGTGGCGATGGTAGTGTTCTCAATACGATAGTCGGAAAATATCCGAATATCAAGGGTATTAACTTTGATTTAGCTTCTGTCATTGACAACAACAAATCTGTTTATCCAGGTACTTATAACTGTTTTTTTCAATCAACTCTGGCAAATTATGATGCAAATCATATATATATAAATCGGTAATCACGGTCACCCCTGAGGTAAGGTCAAATTACGAAAATATCCCTCATGTTTGGGTAATTACAACCACTCCCCTCAACTATGTATTGACTTACGAAAAAAAAACTTGTTCAATTAGTAAATTTCGGGGTATTCATTCGTAAAACCTTACAAAATTTTCGATACACCAAAATTTCATACCGTTTATCTAATCGAAATATGCTGTTCGGTTCGGTAAATAACCAAATTACCAAATTTTATTAAAAATATTGAAAAGTTTGAATTTTTTTTTCTAATTGATTTTAGTTTAAATACTACCAGTTCATATACAAAATGTATATGTAATATAATAAAGAATTGAATACCGAACTGAATTCCCGGTTATGTAATCGGCACACATACCAAATTTTCCTAATTACTCAAACAAAATGGATTTTTTTTCGTAATTTGACCTTACCCCAGAGTGACCATAATTTGCTCTAATACAAAATGTAAACATGTTCTTGCAGGAATAGAGTATATCTCAGGAGATATGTTCACAAGTATTCCTAAGGGTGATGCAATGTTTCTCAAGGTCAGATTTTTTTATTTTTTCTTTAATTTT